TTTTGCAAGATTTGGATGCCTTAAGAACACGTTCTTTTTCTTCCCCTCCCCTATGCTCAAAGTCAGCTGCTGCCTCATGCTAGAAGTTTTGAGTGCCTTCTTTTTTCTCTGAAGTCAGGAGGAACTGACAAAACCAAGCACTTCAAACAGAGCATCATTAGTGCATTCCCCTTTTACTGTACTCCTGCCCAATCCACGCAGAAGAACTCGCTGCCACTGAACACAGAGGCCTGATGTGTTTTGCGAGTTTTGGTCACTGAAAGTGGGTCTGCCAAGTGTCCTCAATGCTAAATTCCTGTGACTGCCTCCTCACTTTTGTTGCTGGCATCTTCAGCTGCACGTAGCTCACTGGGAGCTCCCTGTGTGACAAAGAAAACTCTGCACCTGAGCCTGGGTAGGTGGGTCACTGCTGCCCTTCCTGTCAGTGTGCACGATATAACATCAGCTGTTCAAGAAGAGACATCCTTAGCTTCTACCTGCAAATGTGGTGTGACTCTGGAATTAGTTCCATATATGAGGTTAAAAAATAGGACACATGCAAAGAACAGTAGTCAGACAAGAGACAGAATCTTGGTATTTTTAGCAGCTTACCATCCAATGGACTCTCCAGCGTGATGGACTGCTGTCACTGCATCGCAGATGAGTTACACCCAGTAATTACTGACATGCTGTTTCCCTGTGTCCTTTCACCTTGTCATCTGCTTTGGCTATATGCCTTCCAGAGAAGGCTCATCTTTTTGTACAGTCTACAGTAACACACATTCAGTGGTGCTGCTTTCATCTCAATGAGTAACTAAACTTCCAAGGAAACAAAGCTAACTCAGACAGTGTAAAAACAAGCAGGGGCTCCATACCAGCGATGATGCAAACCAGTCTTGCTCAAAGGGATGTTAACCTCAGCCCATGAAACTGAGCAGAAAAATATAATTCCAGGCTTCCTCCCCAGTCTTTCAGGCACACAGATTTTTTAAAAACAATGGCCAGTCTTGTGAGAAGCACCACAAGGCCTTTGCTCAGTTGCAGAAAAGGAACTAGAAACAGTTAAAAATTGTCAACCTTGCAAATTAAATCAAAAAAGCCATATACCAATGCACATAAGGCAAACTGGTGTCTCAATAGAGCAATGGAAAGAACAGAGTTTAGAGAAGAAAACATCTTTAGGAACCCCTCTTACCCTTCTGCTACTACACCAAGCAGTCAGCTGCATCTAACCATGGCTGGCTTCCTTAAACATCTCCCATCCAAGCAAAGTGACTTCATGTGACAGCTGATGAAACCATAACCGCTGGTGTTATAATAGAAAGTTACACACACACCCCCAACAAAATCTGGAAATTTAGATACTGAAAATACTCTTTCTTTCCTTCCCCTACTGGGCCTCCTCTCCCGTTTCAGGGCTTGCTTGTTCCAGAGTAAAGTCTCATAACTGGGCTGCAATTCTTCATTTCCATTCACTGCTCACAAGTTCAGCTGTTTTCAAAATACATGAGCTATTACTAAGACTGGGCTAAGAGGAAAGATCACCAATCCAAGCCACAAAAGTATTCAAGCTGCAGAGAACGCTCCGAATGATTTTGAGAGTACTTCTTCCCTCAGTCTTACCTTGCAAACAGGAGCACAGAAAGCTGTGTGCTGGGACGTTACGGACAAGATTAAGCAGGTGTTCTTCCCTGTAACTCAGCACTGCCCACAAGGCTGGAAAGAAGGGACTAGAAAACTGCAGAGGTTGTTTCTTTATTTCTCCAAAAGCCCAAGTTCTCCATCCCTACACAGATATGACCTCTGGTCCATTAGTGACATCGCAGCTGTAAGGGATTCTGTCCCTTCCTTCTCTGCTTCCTTCTGTCACAATTTCATATTGTTACAGAGACAAGCACTGTTACTGCTGGGCTGTTGAGCATGGATGGGTATGAGGGATGCTAGAAAGCAGCATCCCATTTTTTTCTCTTGGAAGAACATCACTATATCCCTCTGTATGTTTTTGTCCTGAATCTTGGGAGCTGTAGGGAAGAAGTAGGTATATGACAGACAGTTCTGGCAACTGCTATATGCTCACTCTAGGAAGGAAAAGACAGACAAAACTAGAAGGAAAATTTAGAAAGAAAACAGAATTTTTTAATTAAAATGCCGAAGGAAAACATGGAGCAATTGTAACTCCACCTCTGACAGAAACTCTTCCAACTGTGTTTAACATGATTTTGGAGCTCAGTATTACTCTACCCCCGTCCATAAACTGGGATAGTAGATCCAAAGCAGACCAGGGTAAACATGCAGAGGAGACGAAGGAGTTTGACTGAATCTCAGTACCAGGCATTTGCAAAGTGAGAAAGAGCAGAGCAGTACTGACACAGTGACCACTGCTCTCCCCAGCTGGCCCATGTCTAAGATAAAGTGCATATGCCCACAAGCAGAGTAGGATTTAACTCATTAGCATGTGCTTTGCTGACAAAGCCTCTGCACCAACAGCTACATTAAGGAGGGTAGTGGAGGAGAAAGCAGCACACAGCAGCAGCCCATCTCCCGTGGATCCCTCCCTTGAGGCTTTTGAGGTGAGCTGGTCATCACAGTGCACATTCTCCCTTCTCAGCATTACCAGCACAGCAGAGGAAGCCCTCCAAAGCAGCACATCTGGAAAACATTGCAGTGATGACAACACGGGATGAGAGCAGGTGATGTGATGTCCAGTTCCAAGCTGATACCTGGATTTTGCAGACCCTGCTAGAGGTTAATGTAAAGTGATAAACCAAGTTGTTTGGTCAGGGAAAGAGTGGACTGGAGAAGCAACCAAAGTGATAAAGCGAAAAATAAGGGAAGTGACCCAGAAAAATAAAAAAGACAGTGGCTGAAGCACAGCTGTCTGCTTACATCATGCACAACTGGGAATGCAGGCCAGACAAGTTACAGAGGTTTTCCAGATCTAATGCTAAACACAATTACAACCTCTCTTCCAGTTTGGCCTCAGTACAAATATACCCCACCCCAAGATCTCATTACACTAAGCAAAGCAGAGTTTTACAAGTACTCCATTTCTGTAGCCAGCACAAAAGCACAATTCCAATTAAGAAGTGCAAAAGGAACTGTTTATACCAGGCTTCCCTAACCACCACAGCACAGGTCAGTATTATCACTACAGACCTATTATTCCTCTGTTTTCACTGTACTGTACAAATAATATCAAAATACTGTATTATGAATATCCAATTACTATTTGGTTTTCAATACCCAGTATTGATATTCAAAGGACAAATTCAAAGGAACAAAAGAAAGGCAAAGGAAACCAAAACTTTACATGTTACATACATATTCTTGACCACAGCTCTTGAACTTGGGCTTTTAAGTGAGGTACATGAAGAGATGGATTGCAGGACCAATCCCTCTCACCACAGACAGACAAACGAGTGCAACAGTGAGGAACTATCTTCTCCGCATTACAATTTGCTGTCTTTCACTCACTAAGACATTACACAGTGATAAACTTCTTTCAATTTCTATTTAACTTCTAACACATTTCAGGCTGTGAAATATCAAAAGGAAATGTGTAGTAACCAAACCTTTCTCCCCCTAAAAGAGGAAAACACACCTTTAGAGTAATTCAAAGACTGGTTATCTGTAATAGACACAAATATTCTTAAGTTACTACACGTGTGTGTGTGCTCAGGACATAGACAAGAACAAGTAGGGCCAGTGGTTAAGAGCAGAAACAAGAGCAGGACTTTTCCTATGACAAGCAAGGAGGAGCATCTGGAAACATAAAAAAAAAGAAAAAGGAAAGGCATTCTGGACTACGAAGGCTGGAGGAGCAAATCTGTAAACTTGAAGCAGCAGAGCAGAGAGAACACTGCTGAACACCCGCAAATAAAGCAAGAGAACTGAAATACAGATAGGGCCCGGAACTGTCTTAGCAAGATGGGATATATGAAACTCAGAAGGAATTCAGAAAAGTTCTCAGCTGTTTTACTTTTGAAACATGAAATATTAAGGAGAATGACACAACAGCATTTATGGAAGAATTAGCATATGCATCAGCACACTCCCAAGCACTGAACCAAGAGATAAAATGGCCACTAGTCTGCAGTGGCAGCCATTTCACCTGCTTACAGAAGTAACAGAGAGCATGCTACGAGAGGCACAGTTTGACATACAGATCTGCAAAAAAAGCAACCACGAACTGCAGCTATTGGAAGAAAGGCATAGCTGCAGACAAAGTACCAGTCACATTCCTAGTTTCCATCCACATGTGAATAACTAGAACAAGCACACAGAAAACAGGAACTAAAATTTACATGAAATTAATATCCATGAAATGAAGAGGAAGAATGTCAGAACAAGAGGTGTTTACTGATAATGTACCAACTCAGTATCTTGATTCCCTTTTTTAATTCACAATTCCAAGTAGGCACATTGTAGAAAGGCTATCAGTATATATTTAATTCTTTACAGTGCTTCACTAACAACAAACCAAGAGAGCCATGTGCAAGATCTATAACCCGTGGTTTGAAAGACTAGCTCTCTTCAGAAACAACAGATAGTGAGAATTTACACGACGATGTCTACGACAAGCCCTGCCACTGTGGTGTCAAAATCCAAAGGCATATTATCTCTGGCAGATTAACTGAGCTGCAGCTCTATTTTTCTCTAGCAGTCATCAAAGCTTTCAGTATAGTATGATCAGTATGGTATGATTTTACTTTTAAAACTCGTAAGACTTGTATTCTCAGTGACTCAGGTGAAGTCATAACATAACATCAAAGGCCTGATGCTAAAGTTTCCAAGGCATTTGGGAAGATTATTCATGTCAATATAAAGTATTTTAGAACTCTTACAAACTAAATTCCTAGAGGATAAAAAAGGTTAATATAATGAAAAATATCCAACAAGTTTTACTTTTCTGGCTTAGCTGCAGCTTTGATACAAGATGAATAGATTTCTGAAGTTAGCCAGCACTTCAGAAAGGGGAGGTGGTGCAAAAGATACCAAAAAGAACTCACACTCTCATGAGCTACAATTAAACTCTTTATTCAGTTCTCCATGTTATTAGGACAGGGATCATAATGACTTTTAACGCCATGTGTGGACATCACTCCATTCCACATCATTGCTGGTCCATCCTTTCTTCCCTTCATTGTGATGGAGGCATTATCAAAAGGCTAAATGTCCCCACGAGAGGCAAAAGACGACCTCCTGTTGCTGCAGAAAAACCTAAAGAAATAAACCATTAAAAAAGTTAGTGTTTGCCCCAAAATACGAACACCAGAAATTCAAGGAACCATCATGAAAAAAAAAAAATCTCTGTACCCAGCACCTATCTGGCTTCCTTGATAGCTGCGTTACAGACACGTCAAGGACTGAGCCATGGGTACCAAACTGCTCTTCTGACCTTGGAAAAGGTCTTTCCAGGTCAAGGAGTGAGATGCAGTGAAGGCTGTGTTCTCAAAGATAAAATCTAGTTCCTGTTACCTTTCCAGTGGGTAGAGTTCAATCTCTGCAACTGGTGATCCAGCATCTTTCGCACGCATTAGGCTCCTGCGGAAATATTTCATGTGGAGGAAAAATTGTATAAAAGTTTAGCAAAGTCAAACTGCAGACTCTTCCTGCCTAGTTCTCCCACTGATAAAGCTTCAGTATTTGCCATCCAGTAAACAAACATTTCCATTCAGGCATGGACAAGTATTCCTACATCACATTACAATTGCACTACTCCTCCCATATACTGTTGTAAAGATGGGTGGGGAAAGTAACCATAACATTTGTGTTGTTTCTGCTGGCCTTGTGTTTGTTAGATGCATGGGAAAATATACACAAAAGCAGACCCGGTTTCCTCTTGAAACTCTCAAAATACAAGTTTCAGACTTAATAAGCAACACCATTGAACAGAAAAAATCCAGAGAATAAAGACCGCCAGGCAGTGCTTTGCACAGTAGCAGCGACGAAGGGAACCTGCACATACATCCTTGGGCAAATCAGACTTCTTGTAAATGAAATATTTACAGATGTGAAGCAGTTGCACAAACAGTCAATGCGACGTTCCCATTCCTCATCAAGACAACTGAAACATTCATCTTGACCCCTGGCCTCCCACTACATTGACAGGATAGAACCAAGAGGACACCTGTGTATGCAGCTACTGCTTAGTCCTCTCTCTCTGCTTCATAGTACCTTCATGTTCAGTCCATGTAACCCTGTGTACAGTTTTCACCTCTCCGGTTCTTCTCTCCCCAGAATGTAAGTATTTTACAACACAAATAAACTAAGCATCAAGGAAGCCCAGTAGTACCACTGCTTCCAGGAAATCTGCATCGAAAAAATGCGTGGCTGCCCAAAGAGGTAGCTTTGGGTTATTGGCTAATATGGTATGGACTTTTCCTCCCTCTCTGACAACAAAGGCTAATTTGTACAAGCAGGATTGTCCCAATAAATTCTGGAAATTAGTATATATGCCTGAGAATTCATAAATGTGATAAATTTTATTTATTTATTTATTATTTAATTTTATTTATTACAACAATGCATTTTGTTCAGATTGGACATCAGGAGGAATTTCTTCACAGAAAGGGTTGTCAAGCATGGGAATGAGCTGCCCAGGGAGGTGGTGGAGTCACCATGACAGAGAAGACTGGATGCGGCACTTAGGGCCATGGTCTAGTTGACATGCTGGTGTTCATTCAAAGGTTAGGACTCAGTTTCAGAGCTCTTTCCTAACCTAACTGATTCTGTGATTCTGTGAAATTAGTTTTTTCCGATTAGAACACTTTATTAAAAAAAATCCAATGACCTCCAATAAAATTTAATCTCTTTTCCATTCATGCATGAAAAACCTCAATCATATTGCAATCTGCCTAAGAAAAAAATTCAGACCTGAGCTGGAAAACTGTATCTTTATCATATTACATTAAACCTCAGATTAAAATAACACAGTACGTGTACTTGGGAAAATGAAAAGCATTACATGATGAGGGAAATTTAAAAATTCATTGTTGATCAAAAGCAACTGCACTGTCTACAGATACAGAAGACACTACTGACAAACACTTGTCACTATTGACATACTACTTGTGTATCACAAAAAAACCATAAAGCTCAGCAAAATCTATTTTAGACTTCTACTCTCTGTCCCCATCCAGACAAGGCCAAGATTAGCACAGCTGACTGTTCTTAGAGAGCACTCCACATCTATATTCCACACCCTGTTAAACCAATCTCAGCCCTATGCACCACTGACGTTTCAGAAGCCAATACTTTCTTGGTAAGTGATGCGTACAGAAGCACATCGAGGAGTTCTGAAAGCAAAAAGAAATGGCAACAAAAGATAAAGATGCAATTCAATGTATGCAACACTTTCAAAGTTCTTTCTCAGATGCTTCTTTGTCTGCCCTTATTAGAAGATAAACCAAAAAGCCTTCTGCCCCAGCGACATCAATGACTACTTGACTGACACCAGACTTGGGATATAACTAGTTGTGCAGTTCCTATGCATGTTAACTGCTCTCCCTCAACCATTCTGCTTCCTATAGAAATGGATAACAGAATGGCATATTTAACTCCCCAAGCACATTCCTCTCCCTGCAAACAAACAAAAAATATCTATTACCCTAAGAAAGAGTGCTGTATTTATCTGCATACAGCAAACTACCTCCAAATAAAAAAGCAGACACATAGAAATTCACACAAATCTTTTATAAGCCCTTCCCACACAGAGACTTGGCAGAGCTTAATATGCTGACATATTACTATGCAGACTCTGTATATTCTAGTAACACTTGTACTGTTCCTAAAGGGAACAAAAGAGGGATGCAGAAATACCTTGAAAATGCCTTGCATGAGTGCAATGTAAATGTTAACTCTTCTGTCAGCCTAATCCATCATCTTGCTTTCTGTTAGGGTGAGGATCCTACCCAGTCCCTTCTTTCACATAGGTGTCACCCCCCCTGCCTGCCTGTGCAAGCCTATGACAAGAATAGAAATATTCTGCATTCTTCAAATCTCTACCACATCAAAGACACAGAAAACAGCATGCTTTGCTATGTCACATTTAAATGAAAAAAAACCTCAAACCCCTTTGTACTGACAGCCACATGCAGAAACATGGGGGATCTGAGACAGTATTCTAAATGCCTCCTTGTTTATAAAAAAAAAAAAAAAAATCTTTCCTGACCAGTTGACTCTAAGTCACCTTACTCATTAAAAAAACTTAAGATACATTTATATACCTCTACCCCTTAACATGCTAAGAAGCAATAGGTTACAGTTGTACTGAGGCAAATAGGCCCACATTCAGGGCCAGATGGCCACCCTTCTTCCCAAATACTACTGTCATCTAAACTCAATGCAGTAACACCTTTAATTCACATGACTATCCATTCAAGTAGGCAAGCACTACAGTTAGTTTTCCTATCAACACTTTCAGCTTTCCTTCTTGAAATCCAGCTCCCAAAGGTTAGTATGCTTAGCATATATTATATACAGAAATTCTGGTGAGATTCCTCCTTACAAAAGCAGCTGAGAATGCTCCAGTATCAGCAAAAACTGTTTCCCTGTCTCATCTCTGTTCCAATGACAGACTGACACAGGCTTCAGACTCCTTTGCCTCTACTACCAGAAATTACTTTCTCTTCACTTCTCAAGCCTGACTGAATTTAAAACCCTTTCCTATGAACTTCTTCTCACATACAGACTTTGCTCATCATATACAACAAGGGTTTAATCAGTTCTCCATTCAAAATATTTTCCACTTTGCACATGCATCTCCTTTCACTCTGCAGTAATTTAGTTCTGGGATTTCCAGCCTGTGGTCCACATAATACTTTCAAAGGCTGTGTGATAACTGAGAAGCTAATGAGAAAAGCATATCAGTTGTCCATAGTCCTGAGTGGTGCCTGATGTGCACTGTAGAGTATTTAGTTGCCTGGCTATCAAAATTCAGATCCAGTTTAGTTCCTGCATATAAGCACTGTTCCTGATTTCAGTGTGACTACTCCATGTAACAACAGGAAACAGAACTCTGAATTTATCAACTAATACTCAGCTGTCAGTCAATTAAGAAACATTTATGAAAGTACAGAAGTTACTGCTGTATTCTGCATATTCTGGACACAGCTTTTTTCCCCAATCCACTTGGACATGCTTCTCTGCATTTTCAGTTGATCCAGATTCAAACTTCTCTTCTGCCAGATAGTTCATCAGTTCTTCCATATCTTGCTGTTCTCTCCTCTTTTACTTTCTTTTCAGGAAGAGAAGTCCTCCTAATAAAGGTCAGCATTTTAATCTCTGATAGGAGACTTACTTAAAATGAAGGTACTGTTATGGTGGAACATATTAATGACATCTGCAACAATAAGTATTTTATGATGTCTAGATCAGTGGTCCATAAATGGGAGTGCATGTTCCCCAGGGAGGGACACAAGACAATCCATAAGGCTGCAGAGCGAAAATATTTTTTCACCATTAATAAATACGGCTAAGTAACTGTTTTAAATAGTGTTAATTTGATCTCTATCTCACCCTGTTTTAATTTCTTGTTTTTATGTAAGTTTTATAATGTATGCAGCAATCCATGAACATAACCTCTAAAAAATACATATTGGGGTGCATGCTCAAAATGGTTTTTCTGATAGGGATGTGCAATCAAAAAAATTTTAGAGTCATGGGTCTAGCTAGTAACTGAAGAGGTGGCTGAAACCACCAGCTGTTATCCACTAAGTCAGAAACGTTATATATATATTGTATTTCCCACTTTCAAAAGGAATTTTAATTGTTGGTGATTTGAACCTATTTTTCATACCTTGAGATATAAGAAGTCTCCATAAAGAACACTGTTCTTTACTATTATGGTGCTTCTAACGCTTCTGTCATGTCATCTATATGGTGCTCTCTAAGTAGCAAAAAAAGCAGATGAGCTCTCAGCCTATGAGGTTGATCACTGGCTAACAGTAAAGATATTTTCACCTTCATAAAATAAAATTCCACAGGTAAAGATGGTGGAAGCCTCCTCATTTATTCCTTGGTTTTTAAACTAGGTTAAAACTAGCATTTCACCAATGGCACAGCTATAATTAATCTTCCTGTGGGGCAGAGAATGGATGGGTTAGATAAATTCCTTCCAGCCTTATTTTTCAATACTCTGAAGATGAAGCAATTTTGGTGAAGTTTAATTTTTTAAGACATATATTGTGCCTTACAGAGGCAGACAGAAAACTGGAATGTTGAATCAAAGATGAGAATTAGGACATCAGGTAACCAAAGACCAAATCAGATAGGTCAATGTGCCTACTGTACAACAGGCAGTCTTTCGATGGTTAGAATTCTGTAAATTAGACTCACCATTCAAAGGGACAGTTCAGGGACTCTGCCTTTCTCCTCCATTCCCCTTACTCCAGTTAGTATTTTGCAATCCATTTCTCCCAGTACTGGAGGTTTCTCAGGTCCCAGTCATGAGTTTCTTCTGCTGCTGCTGCTGCTGCTGCTGCTGCCACCTACCAGTTTTATTATTCTGTTGCAGCAGAAGGGCATATAGAAGAAGTTCGTGTTCAGCATGCACATAATCATCATCCTTTGTCTAAGATTTCATGGCCTATTCAAGTTCTACAACATCTCCCCATACACTAGGCAAAGCACTGGGCACAACCAAGATCAATACAAGGCTTTGAAAGCCATTCCATAAAGAGAAAACCTTTCAAGAAACATTAAATACCAAAACATTCATTTTTGTAGAATGCAGTACATTTTTATCAACTCTCCCCACCAAAGATCAATTGCAGACACTGCAAAGAACTAGTACTGTATTTCTTTCAAGACAACCTTTACTTGTATGTATTTAAAATCAGGTTAGAGATGCAAAACCGTGATCCAACATGAATTCATTAATAAGTCTGAGGAAAAGAAATTCTTATTTTTAGACATTACAAACCCCAAAAAGACACCCAACCACATGCCTGAAAGTGTTACACCCGTGTCCTATAGCAGCTGATGCACAAAAATATACACATATAAAGGAATAGGCCTGCCCAGTGCTGAGACGCAAGAAGTGGGTGTGTCTGAAAGGAAAAAGCATTGGAAACATAAGTATAACAGGTTTGTAAAATTATCTTGCAAGTAAAATTAAAGACACAAATTATACACTCAATTATACCAGTGAAATTGGATATCACTCCACTGACTTTCACAGAGTGATTCCAGGTTTATCTCAGTGTAATTGAGAGCAAAATTTGGCTCTAAAATTATTCCCTCCCACCTTAATTTGAAGCTGCAGTTTATGGTATTGCTGATAAATTTGCTGTGTTTTAGGAAAATATAAATTGAGACTATGAAAAGTAGACTATTTTATTATGGTATAGAGGAGTTACTAGCATACATAGAAAAATAATCTGAAACAAGTGCTAATTCTTTACAGATGTCATGAGAAATAGAAAACTGCATTTGGAAACTTGGAAGCCTGTTTGTAGGCTCATATTCTTCAACTTGGAATGGTACTCCAATTGTCTGATATTTATATCTGAGTAAAATACAAGATTCTCCTCCTTAAAAGAAGTAAAAGAATATTAAGTACCCAGCACTTTTACACAGTTTGAGATTAAGGGAGTTGAGTTACCAAAGAAGGATAAAATGTACAAGTGCTTTGATATAGCAGTAAGGACAACATAAAATATGTCCCCCATCCTCCACAAACAGAAATAATCAGCCCAACACTCTTTTTCTTCAGCACATGTATTCTTCCATCTGCCCTCTTTACAGGATCTTGCTCTATTGAATATTAATAGATTTAACGTTCTTAGCACTAGTTTTTTCATCCCTATCAACTCCTAATTGATGGAGTTATATTTTGTGTTCGTTTGGCAAATGGAAAGCAACATACCTTTCAAAAATCTACGCTAAAATAGTACAATTGAAGGCAAACTACCTTGAACTGACAAAGAAGTGGAATGAATGTATGACAAAGCTATTCCTCACACAGTCGCATGAGGGGACTCACTTCTGTCTTACCTGAGTAAAGCAAAGGACAATGACAGTTTTTTTAAAGGTCAACAAGCATAAGGAGGGGAACTGAGGAAGAAAAGTAGGATTTTCTCTAAACATCACAGTTAAAGCAATCATTCAACAAGTTTCACCAAAATGAACTGATGGGAAGAAAGGAAGGCAGACAAGTTAGCAAATTTATGAAGATTACAGTAAGAGCAGAAAAGTCTCAATTTACCTGACAACAGGTCGGTTTTGGATGTCACCAAACTGCTGCGTTTACCATTTTACCCGCTTGCATTACTGGGGGGAAAAGTTTAGGAAGGAATATTCTCAAGGATTTTTCATAAGTTCTCACTCTTGCCATCGGAAAGGGGAGAAGGGGTTTTCTCTGGATTGTTTGACTTTTTTGGCTCCTGAAAAGTTTTGCAAAGAACAGTAACAAAGTGTGAACTGTTAGAACACGTTTCTGTAAAAAAAGGTAGAATAAGTCACACAAAATACAGCAACAACAAATCCCACCCAAAATCCACACACCTAATTTGTGTCATTGTTTTAAATGAATAAACAAAACAAAAACTTTTCAACTCAAATTATAAACATGAGTGGCTTGGAGACTTCTAACAGCAGGCCAAGATCCACCATCAGAATGCTCCAAAAGTCACCCTCATCTGTTAAGAAAGGTTTAAAGAAATAAAACAAAGGAAAAAGCAGTAAACACCTGGTTACAAATCCTGCAGTGTACAGCTTAAAACAATTCCTAGAACACTGAAAAAAATTAAAAATTAAAAAAGACAGTAGCAACAGAAGTTACCTGTCCGAGCACCTACTATTCCATAGAGAGAACAGGAGTGGGTCGTGTGTCTCACACCAGCCATAAAGCCCATAAACCTTCTCAAAAAGAGTGAGCCATGAGAAAGATACTGTACATGTGATCTGCTTTCAAAGTCTCTCTAAGCCCTTGTGGTCCCTTATGTATTTAACTGACAGATTTTTGCAATAAGGGGAGAAAATATTTAGCA